AATTCTTATTTCATTCTAGTTTTTAACTACTCTCAATTAATTATTGTGTGCATATTCACAAAAATGATATTGAAATCTTAAAAAACATTTATTTGGCTGAAATGAAAGAACAACTTTTTTTTCTAATTATAAAACTAATTTTTTTTAGTTAATTTGCAGCATGTTTGCTCTTCTTAGCTTGCACATATTCCTATATGGTTGCAACCTGTTCATGTGGAAGAGCACCAGAATAAACCATAATTTCATCTTTGAATTCAATCCACACAAATCTCTTAACTACAGAGACGTCTTTCTCATATGCACCTCATTCATGACAATGGTTGTGGGTGCAATGGTGATCCACCTCATTCTCAGATCATCCAACTTTGCTCCTCATCTTGTTGATGCAATACCGGGAACTCTGCTTGTGGTAAATCATCCATTTCATATTTTCATTTAAATATTTCTTCTCCATCAATTTTTTTTATGCAACGCCTTATATATTGTTGAATTATCTAATCTCCCTCCCCCTTCTTCAGATGTTTTTTGGAACTCTAATTTGTCCCTTCAATATTTTTTACCGTTCTACGCGTTATTGTTTCCTCCGGGTCATACGAAACATCATATTCTCGCCATTTTATAAGGTAAATTAATTTGCTCATTTTTTTTAACAATTGTTTTTTCCCAATAATTTCTATATACCGTTCTAAGAAGACGATTAGTTTCCTTAAATCAATATTAATTTATCCCAACTAATAAGTTTAATATTCATGTTTGTATGATTTATTGCAGGTGTTAATGGTAGACTTCTTCATGGCTGATCAATTAACTAGCCAGGTAAGGAATTGAATAACAGTTTATAGACTGGCTCCTTTTGTACTGATTTATTGTCATTTGCTTGAAGCCCTCATCAACTCATAGATCTAGATAGTCGAAAGATCTAACGAAATTTGAGCTGACTTTGAAATTCCTGCTGATGATCTACAGATCCCGCTGCTGAGGTACATGGAATTCACGTCGTGTTATTTTATAGCATCTGGTTTCAAAATCCACCCGTACGAAACCTGCACCAACAACAAAACCTACAAGCTCCTAGCATATATAATCTCCTTTCTTCCTTACTACTATCGAGCTATGCAGGTGCGCCAAGCTACTATTACACATAAAGCATTCAGTCTTTTTTCTACCACAGAAAAAAAAAATATCAACACAAATTTTATGATATATATATATATATA